TAAACAAGTATGTGCTTATGATAATAAATCTGTGACTTGACTAGAACCCAATGCAACGGTCGGTCCTTAACCGACACAGGCGGAACAAGTGCAACCCGAGCCTCGCCCGAATGCCAAACCAAGTCCAGATCCAAAGTACCATTCCGCTTGGTCTCCAATTGTCATTCATATATATACCAGGTGATAATAATATAATAGCAATAATAATATCTTTCCTATCTCTCGCGAGTGACAGGCAATCACTCGACTTGTACCGGAGTCCTGTAGCATAGTAATCTACACGATCCTGTCATACTAGTAAAACTCATAGGATAAGGATATATATATGCAATTTGGTTTCATTCAACTCCTTAAACTTAATGCACACACATAAAATAAAGTGCAGAATAATAGAGGTTATGCAACGGGGCTTGCCTGGATAAAATATAGCCAAGTTAGCTTTTCATCACGGTGGCACGATCATCAGGTCACCATCTGCTTCTGCTACTCCAGACGACTCTACGATCCAACATCACTCCTATTATGAAATACGTGGATACAACGCAGGGACGTAAATAATCCACGGCAACCGCAATTCTAAAATACGATTACGTCTTGCAAGCTAATAAGCTAGCTCTAATGACTAACATACTAAGTCATGTATCCACGTTGTCAAGTGAGGCTCGTTTCCGGGGGAAAAATTTCGCTCTACAAACCCCCCAATTATTTTGACATTTGATTAAATATATATTTTCGTAGTAGGGCTCATTTAGTTACCTTAACAAACTAATCCCTATGGAGCTACAAAAATTACAGTGAGCACCTAATAATGTTAGAAATCTACTGTAAAAATTTCAGAGCCAACACTACTACCAATTCATCACAACAATTCCTACAAGTTTATGTTTTAACAATATTAAGTATCTCGAATTAATTAGATTACTCTTGAAAACTCTATGAAACTATGTAAAAAATACACTAGAAGATAGATGATGATTTTAGGAACCTAACCAAATAAATTTCATAATTTTTGGTTAGCTACACAAATTGGCATTGAATTTATAAGTTTGGCTTAGAAACTAAATTAGCAAATACTTGGAAAAAGAGAAGGGCTGACCTTAACCCATCTGGCCTGCCGGCCCAGCGCGGGGCGTGGGCGCGGGCGTGCCGCGGCGGCCCAAGGCGGGGGAAGCCCGCGCGCGCCCAACACATTTGCAAAGGAGGGCTCATACTCTCACTATTTCAACTACGCCGTGCTACACTGTTCCATCAACCTCAACTTTTGCACAAAACACCCCGAGAGACACCGTCTTCACAACAACCGGGTCCCCGCTGCGCCCACGCGCGCTGGCATGACTCCAGCCGACACTGCACGGCCACGCCGGCCTATAGAGACCCCCATCTACACGCCTGTGAAGCCGACCGAGACATCTGAACTTGCGCGCGGTAGTAGAAATCGGTAGCACGTCCAACTGTGCACTAATTTCACCTACCCATGTCGACAGGGAATCCGCGTGGTGGCGCGACTGCTCCGATGGGCCTACGCGCTAACGGAGGAGTAGCGGTGGCGGAGAAGCATTTGGAGCTTACTGCGGTCCGCGCTGTGGTGGTGGTTGAAGCCGAGGAGGGTTGAGGTGACCCGGCCATGTGAGCTCGAGCACGGCGGTGACGCTCCACGGTGGTCCCATCGCGTCACCGCATCATCGACGAGGGTCCTGGCCAAAACAATGGGAGCACTGGCTAAAGGTGGTCAGGGCGAGCCTAGAAACGCCCCCAATCGAACCCTTACCTCCGAGTTGGGGACTTACCCCTGAGCGGTGATCTGTTCCAGAGATAAGATGGCCGACGGCGAGCAATTCGTCAAATTGATGGTAGGTAGGTACTCGGCCGGGAATGGGGAAGGTAGGGTGCCTAGCTGGCTCCCTAAGCCGCGCACTGGTGCAAGCAATCGGGCCGAGGAGCCGTGAGCAAGCAGAGCCTACCGACGGCGGCACGGAGCTCTAGCCGCGGTGGTTGGGCGAAAGAGTAGGCGAACAAATGCAAGAGGGTTAAAACGTCGGCCTCGGCCACTAGCTGCCACCAACACGGGCACCCAGGCGATGCGACGGACAGACCTGGCATGGCGTCCATGACTTGAAGCAGCCAGACCCGAGCGGCGCGCCGACGTCTGTTAGCTGATCAAGGCAGGCAGGGAAATGTCACCATCGCTTCTGTGGTCGGCCACCGTTGCGACACGGCGGCAGGCTCCAAGGCACAAACGGGCGCAGTAGGTAGAACAAGGGGCGAAGCTAGTGCCACGTCGATCTGACAGCGGCCACCAAGGCATTGGCCCAGCCCTGCACGTGGTGCAGCGGCACGGCATGGCCAGGACAGCACGAGGGCGCAGAGAGGCGAGGGGCGCGCCACGGCGTTAGTGGGTACACGACAGCAGCACACGCGCTGGCCCGCAGGGAGAAACCGTGGCCGGCAACAGCCGAGCCTCACGCCCGCCATGCGCATGCACATGGTGACCACGAACACCGACCGAGCGGCTCCTATCAATGGTGTGCACGAATTTTAAAGCTCCGACCAAAACCAAACCAGCTCGGTTAAGACTAAACCATATCGACAAGGCTTAAGAAGGTATATACGGCTACCAGTAGTAGCAACAAACTCAGACAAAGATGAACTAGAGAGGAAGATAGAGCCGTGCCCACTTGGGGTGCCCAAGGTCAAGAACTAGCTGGCCAACGGCACGTTCTAGCTATTGACGTCATTTAACTAGTGATCAAAACAAGCACTAACCAAACCAACCCCTATACCATCACAAAGCACTCACTTTGATGCACTCAACAATACCAAAACATGCAACTAGTGTTTAAACATTTTTGTTAGAAATTAAATGCCAAAATAATATTGTCTACCACCCTTCATACTTAGAAACGTTAAGGTTTTCAGTTAGGACTAAGTAACAATTAACTCTTTTGTCGCAATTTTTAATAGATCTAAACCTTGCTAACCTCAAGCAACAAATACTTCATGCCATAGTCCATACCTTATACTAACTCGTAAGAGCAAAATATATAAGCACCATTTAACTAATTCGCTCAATATAATTCGCCAAAAATGGTATTTTAAACATAAATTCAAGCGTTTGCCGACTTAACGAAAAGAGTTTATCTTAACGTCAAGTTAGATTTTAGAGCTCCCAAAGCACTAGTTAACAACATCTATTTTCTCAAAAGTTAATGTTGCATTTCCATCTACTAAACTTGTATTTTAATTTTTATTTAAGTACTAAATACAAGTTATATTTTATTCTAGTTTATAGAAATTGCTTTTCGTGCCAAACCATTAAAACTATTTTTCCTATTTTCTTATTAGGATTTTCATTAGCGCATTTAAGTAAACTAACTCACTATATTTATAGATCTACCTCTCAGGCCATAATCTCAGTGCTTAGCGAGCTCGTAACACCAGAGGTGTTACACCTAGTGACGGCGCGGTTGTGCCGTCGCATGCGCTCGCCGGCTATCAAGCTATGGCGGCAGGCCCCAACAATGCATGACCAGAGACGGAGAAGACAGAGAGTGGGGAGTAGGACTGTGTGTAAGGCTGACTAGTGGGCCCCACGTGTCAATGAGTGTGAGAGAAGAGGAAGGAGGCAAGCTTGTCCATACGGATATACGGTACCCCTCTATACACCGGTTTCAAGTCGTCTCTAGACGTACATAATGGTGTATCTTAAATATCCGTAGAGTTCCAATGACAGTGATATAGTTTCTTAAATAGTAATGGTACGCTTAAAAACGGTACAATTATAATGGCACTGATCCTATTAACGCTTAAGAAAAAAGAAGGGGTAAAATCCTGTGCAGGGGCAAAAACACGTTCTAAAAAAACGAACAGAGGCCGGCACGCCCCACGCAGCACTCCCTTCCGGGCTCCCGACGACCGCGCCTGTGTCTCCGTCTTCCGTGGCGGCGCCCCTACCCCTCGAACCCGTACGGCCGACCTCGCCTTCTCGGCTAGCCAGCAGCCACCAAGCCTCCGGCCGGCCGGCTCCCGGCGCCCCAGCGCAGATCTGGCCACTGGCAGCCGGCCAACGAGGTTTGCCCCTGGCCGGCTGCGGCCTGTTGCCTTCCGCCTGCCGCCTGCCCGGCCCGCCAGCGGCGACTGGCCAGCTGGCCAGGGCGCCAGGCGCCCAGACCCCAAGCGGCCAAGCCTTTCTGCCCTTGCCCGGTTGCCCCCACAGTGAGCCGGACAGTGAGTATTCTTTTCTGATTAGTGATTATTCATCCTGTTTTGATTGACGAGTGCCAATTGTTATTTTCTAAAAATTGCATTATTCATCCTGTTTTGATTGACGGGTGCCAATTGTTATTTTCTAAAAATTGCAGTGCAATATTTTATACCGTGGGGCATATATGATCTTTTGGTTATGAATTCTTCTTTATTTGGTATTTTTCTACCATATGCTGTATTTTCAGAGGGAGTTGCCTTGTATAGTTAGTAAATTGATGTGTTGTACTTGTACACTCAAAGCATTCATTCATTAACTTAACTTCACTCTAATGTACTGACCTGACTTGAACAGAACTATTGCAGTTAATTAGGATGGGGTCATCTTAGGATTTTCTCCTTTGAGTCTGATTTTTAAAAATCAAATATGGAAAAACTCAGTTGAACCATATATTCTATTCTCTATCTTGTTCTTCCTGCACCTCTACAAGGTCCTTACTTCTATTTTCTGTAACTATAACTTTTAACTGGAGTCTTTTGTATATTAATTAGATGGTGTAGAGTTCCAAAATTTCAATGATATGCAAGTAAGACTGAAAGTCCATGCACATGCTGCAGTTATGCACTCTATCCCCTGTGTATAATGGCAGTATGATGTTTCTATCTTTTAACCATTCCTGTGTAAGTTCGGAAACTAGTTTGTCACTGAGCCATATTGCAGTTATTAATTCATCGAAGCTGACTAGGAATTTCTTCTCTGTGTAGCCTGACTTAAGGGGCCTCTTAGGAAGGAGCGAATAATGGGAAGTAGGCAAATTGTTGCTGTTCTTCAAGTAGGTGGAGAATTTTCAACAGATGATGATGGACGGATGTCCTATTATGGTGGAGAGGCTCATGCTATGCATGTGAAGAGTGATTGGACTTTTAAAGCGTTTAAACATGAAATATCTTCAACACTCAATAATCTCAAACTTGATTCCTATGTGTTCAAGTACTTCCTTCCGAGAAATGACAAAACTTTGATTTCAATATCAAATGACAAAGACTTGAAACGCATGGTTGAATTCCATGCGGAGTCAGAAACAACTTACATATATGTCATGAAGAAGGCTGACAACAGGTATAATTCTGAAAGGAGAAGTATCATTCGTAGTAGCTTTCCAAAAATGATGTGGTACATTTTTGCAGGCTGAAGATCTCCATTGCAGGCGCTGACGCTCCTGCAGATTGTGCTGTGATAGCAACTACTCCAGATGGATCCAAGCGGCAAAAGATTTGTGCTAGTTGGGAGAATGCGATCACAGGAGCTGGTCAAGTGTTTCAAAGTGCAAAGGAATTCCGAGATGCATTACACAAGTATGCTATTGCTCATAGGTTTCATTACAAATTTGTCAAGAATGACTCTTCTCGTGTAACCGCGGAATGTACTGATGGAGGGTGTGCATGGCGTATACATGCATCAAAGTCTCATTCAAAGGAGTTCATGGTCAAGAAAATTTTTGGTACTCATACTTGTGAATCAGAGACCATCAAAAGTCATCGTTTGGCATCTCAGAAATGGGTTGCTAGTGTTATTAAGGAAAAAATACGTGATAGTCCAAACTACAGGCCAAGAGATATTGCGAATGATCTCCAACGTGAATATGGATTGTGCCTCAACTACTCCCAAGCTTGGCGTGGTAAAGCAATAGCCCGAAAAGAACTTTACAGCTCAGATGAAGAGGCATGCAATCAGCTACCTTGGTTTTGCCAAAGGATTGTTGAGACCAACCCTGGAAGTGTGGCAACAGTAGTGGCCTTGGAAGATTCGAAGTTTCGATTTTTTGTTGCATTCCATGCCTCCCTTCATGGTTTTGAGCATGGTTGCAGGCATCTTCTCTTTCTTGATGTGATTTCTGTCAGATCAAATAAACACTGGAAGCTATTAGCTGCTACTTCAGTTGATGGTGAAGGTGATATCTTCCCTGTTGCACTGTCTGTAGTGGATGATGAGAATCAAGAAAATTGGCATTGGTTTCTTGAGCAGTTAAATGATTCATTACCTGCACTTGGAGCAATAACATTCATATCTAATGGTAAGAATGGTCTGTGGGACGAGGTTTCTCTTTTATTTCCAGATAGTTATCATGGATACCATGTCAACTGTTTTATTGACGAATTCAAGCAGCAGTTGGATGGCAGTTGGAGTGAAGAAGTAAAAGATACGATGGTTGCGCATCTTGAGAAAGCCATTTATTCATGCAAAGTTGATGAATTCAATCAGTATGTTGAACTCATCAAAACTGAATCTGATAAGCTTGTTGAATGGCTTTTGGAAACTAAACCAGAGCGGTGGTCAGATGCCTTTTTCAAAGGGTCACGACTTGGCCAGTACACTTGCAATGTTTCTGAGGCAATTTCGGATTGGATTCCTAGCAGATATGAGCTCTCAGTAGTGCAGTTGGTTGACACGATCAGATGCAACCTAATGGAGATGATGTATACACGCAGGGAATCTTCCAATACCTGGACAGAAGTCTTAACACCATCAGCCAATCAGAAACTTCAGGAACAGATGAACAAAGCTCTCACACTCAATGTTGTTTGCTCAACTGGAAATGATGGAAATGGTCATGTGTTTGAGGTGTGTGATGACTCGGTCAATGTTGTCAACATTGATACATGGGAGTGCACCTGCAGAAAATGGCATGTTTCTGGGATTCCTTGCTCACATGCAATTGCGGTATTTGACCGTACTGAGCAGTGTCCACTTGACTACTGCTCCAAGTATTTCACAACGGAATGTTACCGCTTGACTTATGCCATGTCCATAAATCCAATACCTGATGTTTTTGTACCTACCGCAGCAGGTGACCCATCACAGGGCACGACGACATTACTTTCAAGCCCCATTCTGACCCGAAGACAAGTGGGCAGACCAAAGGAAAAGCCAGCTGATCCGCGTATTGCAATCAAAAGAGCAGTGCGCTGCAGCAGATGCAAGGGCTATGGGCACAATAAAGCAACTTGCAAAGTCCCCATCTCAGCCTAGTTATCCCAAATGTAAATTACTTGGTAGTCGCTTTCTCTGTGCTTATGAAGTATGAACCCTAGTTGAACCTTAATGTGAAATGACATCGCTTACAGTGGTGGAACCAGGTATTTTTATTAAGGGGGACCGGGCAAACATGATGACACCACGTAAGTGCAAGTGTGATAAATATACACATCAACCGTATGTTTCAATAGCTTTTTCAATGCTTATACACATGTAGTTAGTATTCATAACGAAAAATCACAATATTATAATAAGAAATGATATTGAATTGATGACATGTTGTCGTGTGCATTAAAATATTTGAAGGAGTGTTAAAAAGTTTTCATTGTGTGTGTGTGTGTGGGGGGGGTTGGGGGGATGCCCTGTTAGCGCTCCTCTGGTTCTGCCACTGATCGCTTATTAGCTGCCGTACTATTATTTGTTGATTAAAACATAGAGCAGTGTTATTGCCGATGTGCTTGAGGTTTGGCTAACATTATTTTGAATCAGAATTCAAATGTTTCCATGTGGGACGATTTGGCATCGAGAGACCAATAGCTGCTTTGGGTGTCGTTGTTGTTGATTGGGCTATGAAATCAGAACATGTGCAGGCTCTGCCCAACAATTCGAAGTACGTTGAGATTCCTATGTGAAAAATGAGGTCTGATAAGCTTTAATTTGAGGTTTGTTTAGCTTTAATTTGAGCCCAATTATTAGGCACGTATAAGACTGGCTATTCTTATTCCAAAAACCGAATGGGTTGCAGCTTTGCCATTATATATAGAAGTAGGATGATTTCAGCTCATCTTTGCTTCTTGAGAAGTTGCATCTCATCAAAAGCAATAATATTAAATGGGCTTTCGATAAAATCCCACAACACCTTAGCACACAAGGGACTTCTATCCTTTGTCAGTTCCTCCAACTTATCAGTTCATTTGCATACAACCTACCAGTGTATTTTATGCAACAAAAAATACATTTCTTTTCGAAAGATCACAAAAAATACATTTCGTTTGACAATGAATATATAAGTTATTCTAATAACTTGCCAACAATGATATGATAACAACACATATGGTGATCAAACAACGAAAAAACATTTTTTACAGGGAATCTCTGTGTACATATGGTGATCAAACAACTTAAAAACATTTCTGTGTTAGCATTCCAAGAAGTATAAAACATCTATGTGGAACGTAACACATTAAATTTGCATATATTTGCATCTAGAGGCAACTACAACAATTTTTGCATGCAACTATGAGGAACAAGTGGTGGTAATTCCAACAAAGCCTAAGCAGAAGAACAACCATGAAGAAGAACAAATATGGCAGATGAGTTGTCACTTATCATCGTCCTTAGATAATTTTGATGGGGAAGATTATTTTTTTGTCATGTGGGGCCTGTTCGGCTGGTATTAAAGCCGGCTGAAGCTGATTTTTTATGAGAGAAAAACACTGTAGATTATAACTGATAAGCCAGCTGATAAGTTCAAGCGAACAGGCCAGCAGCTTTGCCAAAAAAAAAAAAAAGAGCATATGTTCGCATCCAAAATAGCCATGGACACAAAATACAAGCACTAGACTGTCCGGTGTGTGCACGCCGGATTGTCTGGTGTGTGCATTTCAGGTGGAGTCCAAGATGTATTCAATTTTTGTTTAAAAAAAAGATGTATTCAATTTCTATGTTTGTTTTGGATCCGTTTTGAGATTGTTCCGTGATGTATTTGGGCATTACCCCATGAATGAACTTCTACCCTATAAATACAAAGGGCCATGAGCCCATGAACGATTAAGTGCAGCTACAGTGCCAATTGTCCGGCGCTTTTGGCGATCTGCTATTTGAGCATCCTAGCGTTGTGGTGTGTGGTCGTCTTTTACGCCAACAGAAGGTAAACAATTTCAAGCATTTTAGTGTCATAAGTAATATTTATTCAAATTATTGCTTAATTTGTCAATGAAAAAATATGATTACCCCTTTCTTCCTCAGGTTTGTGAATAAAGGTCATAATCAGTATTTGTCAAAGGTTCACTATGAGAAACGTGATCTCACCGTGCATGTTTTTGATGACATCATAGGAGGATATCATCACATTAGTGACTACAAGTTTTTAGCTCTTGTTTCTAAATAGCCACCAAAATCATCCTATTTTCTAAGAGTTACATCAAATCCTTCTAAAATTCATAGGAGATAAGCACAATTTTTATGAATATAAATTGTTTTAAATATTTTATTGCTACTACTAAGATATATTAAAATTCAAGTAATACCGCCTAAAAAATCTTCAAGAAAGTAAACACATATAGTATTCTATCCTTTGGCTATGCTTCAACTATAATTTATTTATTGGTATACTACTCACTAATGGGTGGATTAATCGTTATTTGTGAAAGGTTCGCTATGAGAATTGTCATCTGGCCATGCATGTTTTTGACGACGTCATAAGACGATATCATCACAATAATGACTTGTACGATTTTTTAGCTCTCGTTTGTAAGTAGCCACTTAAAACCATCCTATTTTCTAAAAGTTACCTGAAATCCTACTAAAAATCATGACATGACGAAACACTTTTATATGAAGATAGACTGTTTTAAATATTTTACTACTACTACCAAGATATATTCAAATTCTAGCAATCGGTCAGTACAACCTTATTTTTCTATAAGTTCAGTAAAGGAAGGATATAGGCAATTTAACCCATTTAATCTCAGAACGCAACAAACCTATGTGGACCTAGGACAGGCCAGCAATAGGAGAGCCACGGCGACACACACTGCCCAACCCTAGATCTCGGCTTGCTTATTGCCTGCCTACCTGGGCCAAGCTAGCGCCCAGACGTCCGAACGGACGCGCACACACCCACGTGTTGCTGCTGCGCCCTGCGCGTGCTGCTGCTGGACCTGCTCGCACCTGCTGCTACGCCTGCACGGGAGAGCATGTGTGTGGGCCCAGCTGTGTGGGAGAGAGAGAGGGAGCACAATGTGCGTACCCTTGTGTTGACCTCGCTGCATGATGCACTGTGGGGTGGGGGGGGGGGCACACCGCCTGGTGGTGTAGGGGCGCCTGGTTCTGTGTCTGCTTGGTGCTGACCCGCTCTGGCGCTCTGCAATCTGCAGGCGCGCATGCACTTTGACGGACACTGACTGCCCATTGCGTGCACATCTGACTATTGGAGTGCATACGTGCTTGCGAGTCAGAGCACGTAGGGAGCTACACTTGCTGCAGCATACATCTGAAACAAGGTGAAACATTGTAAACATACGCTTGCAACATATATGTGTATAAGTCTGAACCAGGTGAAACATTTGGAACACACACTTGCAACATATGTCAATAATCCCTACAACATATGCAACATCCAAATAAAACACATGCAACATCAAATGAAACAGCTGAAATATTTGGAACACACACTTGCAACATGCTTCTGAAAAATAGCTGAAACATTTGGAGCATACACTTGCAACATACGTGTATAGCCATTGCAACATCTGCAACATCTCGATCTACTTTTGCAACATCCAGATGAAACACATACAACATCTAGATAAAATATCTGAAACACTTGAAACATACGCTTGCAACGTGCGTTTTCAGCGTAATGTTACCTTGGTGCTTGGACAAATGAAGGCTCGTCGCCATAGAGCTCATCGACACGGAGGTCGGCGACGGCGCATGTAGCTCGCTGGTGCGCCAATGGAGTGGCGAGCACTACGTGACCCTGGCTGAGCGCCTGCTCAGCGGCCTGGGCGCGAGGCCATAGCACCCCTGGGCGAGCACCTGCTCAGTGGCCTAGGGAGCACATGTGGGTGGCCGCGAGCACCCCTAGTGTGCAAGAGGGCAGGGTCAAGCACCTGCAGCAGGCATAGCGTGGGCCTACGCGTGGACCCCGTGGGCAGGGCAAGCATGCGATGTGTAGGGGTGAGCAAAATAGTAGTACATGTAGGCACGCGTGGGGCCGACCGGTGGCAGGTCAGCGTGGGGCCCATGTGACTGCGTGGCAGGGGCACGCATACGCACGTAGCATGATTCCCGCGTCTTCCTTTCACGTGGGCCAGAGGGTGCTGCTGGCCATTGGGGAGGCACGTGCGTACGAACTTTGACAGGCGCGGGACAGTGGAAGCCACACCGAGTGTGGGAAGCCACATCCGATCCGTCCGAACATCCTCACAGGAGAATTACCGGCAACTTTGTTTCACCGTAACCAACTCTCCTAGCATCTACTCTCTCTGTCCCTAAATAACTATCGTTCTCGCTTCGTGGGAAATAACTTTGACTAGTTTTATATAAAAAATATTGATATTTATGATAATTAATATCATTAGATAGATCGTTGAATCTATTTTTATAATAAATTTATTTAAAGATACAAATGTTGCATGTATTTTCTACAAATCTAGTCAAACTTACAGTACCAAAACAAAAATTGATAGTTATTTAGGGACGGAGGCGGTACCGCTCTTCCCCAAACATGCACTAGCCTCACGTCCCTTTGAGTTACTAATATACTGATGTAAAACTCATTAGTATATGAAAGGAACTGCAATAGCTCTTTTCCCACAATGTGCACCACTCTCAACAAAATGTAGTTTGTAGAAATTTTGGATGCTTAAAAATCGAGCAAGCATACTCATATACGTCTTTTATCCTTTGCTTTGGCTATGCTTCAACCAATAATTTGTTTGTTGGTATGTAGCTCACTTGTGGCAGTGTGCTACTGCATTAAGAGATTGGTGATCTCACTATGCATGTTTTTCTATAGAATCATAATAGGATATTATCACATAAATGACTATAATTGGTTTAGCTCTCCTTTCTAAGTAGCCACTTATTAGAGCATCTCCAATAATTCCCAAAAAATCAATTGGTAAATCAATGAGTTTTCCATGTGGCTAAAAAAAGTTGGGAGCATATTTGTTGAGCTTCTCCAACAGTTTCTAAAATCCCACTCCTACAACTTTGCATCAGGAATCCTAGACTATTTCTAAATCACCTTAACTCTTTTTATACTT